GGGGGGGGTACTCATGTAAACGCATGTTGTAGTCGATAGGCCATTGACCGACCTCGGAGCTCTACAATGCCGGGACAGAGCGATTCGCCGGCCCAGGCTAGTACGTTTCGCAAGGATGTACAGTAGAGGTCCCTGTTTAATGCCGGGGTGCGCGCAAAAAATTCACCGGCACTATCCAAAGTACAGAACGACTTGATATTCCAGCGTGTGCGAGCCGAAAACACCGGCACTACACCGGCAACCGGCACTACACCCGCAACCGGCACTAAACAGGGACCTCAACTGTATCTGGTCACCATCCTTGCCTTTGCTACGGCGGTGGTGAGTGACTTGTGGGCAAAATCCGGAGCGGCGCCACAAGCGAAAGATTTCGTGTTTTCCGCGCGAAAAAAAGACAAAGCCCTAGACTACCCTTTTCATCGTCATCAAAACACCAACAAAAAAAGAATACATGTGCGGTGTGACCGCGACAATCACAACTAGCTCAGCCTTCACTACATACATCAGAGAATACACGGCGGCAGGTTTATCCATGTATTGCAACAGTTTTTGCATACATGTACGTGTACCTTGAGGAGCTTGTTGGCCCGACGGAGGTCGGACGCTAGGGCGGTGGGGGACTTCGCCTCCCCAGACTTCAGCTTCTCTTCCGCCCTGCAGGCGCAGACCCAACAAGAAAACAAAACACCAACACGACAAGAAATACACGGGGGGGGGCCTTGTGTGAGGTGAGTTGATGGAAAAGGGGAAACAGGAGAGAAGAACAAGAGTCGGTTGCTGCCTGCCTCTGCAGAACGACGGATCGAAAACGGTTAGCAAAAAAAATATCACGGTTGAACGAAAACATGTGCGCGAAGATGTCGGGGCGTGTTGGGGAGGGCATGAGGGCAGCGGCTTGGCGGTCCGCCGACCTCCTTCGAGATCGTGATGCCGAATCAAACTATGATTCCTGTCCCAACCCTGACGAGACCTGCCCCCAACCCAGACGACGGTACCTGATTTGCACTGCGACAATCGCCCGCCGCGAACAACAACAGCAGCAGGGCGATTACCCCCGCCCTTTCCACAATGCCGCCAAAGCCACAGATGCCGTCCGACATGGCCGACCGCCAAGCACCACCACCATACCAGCGCAACCCACCTCAATATCTTGATGTCGGCCAGGTCCTGATAGATCTCGCCGAGCTCGAACGACAATTCCTTGTGAAGCCGAGCGTATGCCTTGCGGGCCAGGGCGTCCAACAACGGCTCCAGCGCCTGAGCTCTACATGTACACACCCGTAAGACGTGCACGCAGGTTGGGATAGAGCAGGGCACCCGCACACCCGGACAAACCCTTCAAAGCTTCGAGAAAACAAGAACAGAAAGGCACACAACATACGCACCAACGGACAGACACACACACACACCCTGTCGGTAGAACCCGTACCCTTTGATCATGACGTGTTCGTGAATTTAATCCCGCTACAGCAGTACAAGAAGCGGCGTCTTGTCGTTGGTCAGCCGCTTAGCGCGGCCGATGCCAACAACAAAGACACACGCAGCACACGTCAGGGTAGCGAGGTGATCGGCAATTGAGCGCACCTTCGCGTGCTCATGGCACGCCTCCTCTTGGCGTCCCGCTCGAACCCGGAGAGGTAGAGGTAGGCCCTGCTCATGCCTTGATGCAGCGCCACGTGCGCCGTCACGAAGCCGTCCAGCACGTAGTGCCGCAGCGCGCGTTCCGTGTGGCTCTGTGGTGATGCGTAGAAAGAAAAGAGCCACGAAGGGCGTGTTGAGTTTTGGGGTTGGCCCGGGGCATTCGCTCTTTGCGCACGGCATTTGTTGCTTCATTGCATCGGCGATTGACCGTTGTCCACGGCATCTCGCCAAAGCAGAACGCCGTTATGCTTCAAGTAAGGAAACACCAACAGCATCTGTGTTGGCGCCCTTGATATTGCCTGTCATATGTCACGATTGAAACGAAACGGGGGGGGGGCTCAGTGACTGATTTCATGTTGCCAGTCTCGCTCCGCCACCACGCTCTCCTCGAGCACGCCGCGGCTACGCCATCTAACCACTGCGCTGCCGCCGGCACACTCCCGTCATATGATGCGGTCTCACCTTAGCTTTCTTGAAAACATCACGAACGGACTCGAAGTCACCCGGCACATCAGCTGGGTCACACATCGGCAGCTCCCCGATCCCCAGGCTGGCAAACCCTGCCACCAGCCCCTCCTCCTCTTCCTCATCCTCCCGCGTCCGCACCTTGCAGAACGCGCCCCCCGCGCCGACTCCCCTGCCAAGCTCCAGGTGCTTGGCCTGCAGCACCGTGATGTACAGCTTGGCCATGTGCCGATCGACGTCCGCGCGCTGCTCTCTCCGCCGCTCTCTCTCCTCCTCCGTCTCTTCTTCCTCCTCGCGCTTCCTCTCGTTGGCTGTCGACGCCTCCTCGGTCTCCCTACCCTCGCCCCCTGCCTGCGTCGCCCCCCCGCTGCCACCGCCGCTCTTTGCATCGCTCCCCTCCTCTCCCTTTTCTTCCCCTTCGTCCTTCTCCCTCGCCGGGGGCGGCGGAGATAAGGAGGCGTTACCTTTGTCCCCTGTCGGCACCGCCGCCGCAGATCTTTCGGGCTGCAGGACTGCCTATGTATAGTTCAGAGGGCAGCAAAGGGGGCTGGTATTGTTAGGATTGACTGGCTACCGCCAGCGCTAGTGCCACTAGCGCCGGACGAGGACATCCGACACGACCGCTGGAGGGTCTTGGACCAGCCAGCGTTGCGAGGAGACAGCCACCGCTGGCTCACGGGGAAAAGAGGGTGCAGCTGCAACCAACCAGATATGAGAACCGAACTTTATTACGTACTTCGGGATATTAACAGTGGGTATCGTTTCCGCCTAGCGAATAGCAGGCTTCGCGAGGAGACAACCGCCGCCGGGTCGTAAACCTCCAGGGAACGTCGAAAACACGTAAGGACGCTGTTTAACTTTCTGTACGTATTCTTCGGGCCAATAGGCGGGTTGATAGGCGGGACAATAGGTGCCTTTTTCGGAATAATAGGTGTCTTTTCGGACTAATAAGCCCGTCTTCTTCGGGCTAACCTGCGCCGCGAGGAGACACCTCCCGGCCTCCGTGAACCTCCCCAGGCCGGAGTAGTAGTCCGCCAGGAAGCACGCGTTGCGGCTCCACTCTCCCGGGTCGAAAGAAACCTTCATCCCATCGCCGCGCTGGGAGGCGTCTAACTGTCTCTGTAGGGTGAGGGGAGGGGGCGTGTGTGCGTGGGGGGGGGGTTGTCACATGATGATTGTCCAGGTGTTGAGGTTTCGTGTTGGCCAAGCGGATTCGATGAGATAGAGCGCCTTGCCTACATCCCTAACAGAGCCGCCTTGAACTTTGGTAGGCTCTTCCAATACGTGCATTGTTTGGGGAGGGGAGGGGAGGGGCGTGTACTCATGTAGACGCATGCCGTAGTCCCTAGGCCGTTCACCTCGCATCTCTATAACGCCGGGACGGAGCGATATGCCGCGCTTTCGCCGGCCCGCGGGCTAGTGGTGAAAGGGGGGTTGACCCCAGTATTCTCGTTTCTACCCGTTTCCACCCGCACCACAGACCATTCGCACGCTTCTCTTGCCGCTCACCTTACTTGGTCTCGTAGCAGCAATCAAACACGAAACCTTCGACACAGAGATGACGCCGTCTGCTTGGTAGTAATCCATCTACCTTTGTTCGTCCTATCTTCTACCACACCATCTATTAGCCGACGGCCTGTGCCACATAAACGAAGAGGTATTTTCTCCGTCTTGCCTGCAAGGTGAGCGCGCAGTACTTAGCCGATTGCTCCACGTCTCGCACCCCGTAAGCCTGGGTGGGGTCCATTTCCAGGTCGTGACGCGACAAGTGGCGGCAAACACGACGTGGGAAGCACGACTGAGCGCCGGGTGGGCCGATTGGCAGGAAGCAGGCTACCTCACGTGCAGCAGGGGCTCGACATGGAGAGATGGGCAGGACACCGTTGAGCGGACACCATATCGGCTCGTAATGACGTTCCAAAACGTACGCCGTGGTTGGCAGTTCCTACCGGCACGCACACGCACGCACGCGGCTCCGAAGGGGGCCGGTGGATGGCGAAGCAGTGGTACATACCTGCCAAGACTATCGAAAAAAAAAATCTGCCTCATCTTGTTCGACTCACCCGCGCCCCTCACGAGCTAGGGCAAGGGTTAGAGATGAGTACTTTTTTCTTCTCTCAACAAACAGGAGAGCACTATTAGCAACAATCCCCGGAGCGAGCCGTGGACATATTGCACCTACTGCTGCTGCACTCGCCGTGCTTCCTCGGCATGGGATTGCCGGTCACGTTGGTCTCTTCTCCTAGCGCGCCGCCTCTCACACCTACCTGCGCCAGGTAGTAGAAGACGTGCGTAAGCATGTTCTCGAGCTTGCCCTTCTTCTCCTCCTCCTCGCCCGCCCCCTCGCCACAAGCTTCTCCCCCGTCCCCTGAACCCTCTGCCGCCGCTGCCGCCGCAGCCCGGTCGTCGCTACCACCTCCCCCAGCACACCCCACCGCCACAGCTTCCCCTTCATCGTTGCCATTGCCGTGGTCGATCCCCCCCTCTCTCGCCTCGTCGCGGGCGCGTGCTGTTGACGGCGGCACCGGTGCCGACGGCGGGGGGGGAGACGAAGATGCCTGCCGCAGGAAACCCACGGAGGCCAGCAGGTACAGGAGAGACCGCCGCGGGTAACCCCGGGAGGACCACAGGAGGCCCAGCTGCGTCAACGTGTCCGCCGCCTTCGAAACAAACGATTTTGGACGAAAGACGGATTTGTCGGACGGAAGGACAACGGCGAAAAGAGGAGTTTGTCAGATGCAAGGGCAACGGACGGCGCCCGCCAGAAGAGGAAGAGGATGACAGGAGCGAATGCAGGTACAGTAGTATCGTGTCGCGGGTTGAGGGGGGGAGAGAGAGGGGCAGTCGTTAAACCGCGGTGTTCCTCAGGGCCAGCCGATCAAAACAGGCGAGGAAGAAAAAGGGAGGGGGGAGGGCTACACACTTACACTTTGTTGCTTGCATCAGGATAGGCCAGTATCCACCTATGAATGTAACCCTCTGGAGACGGAGAATATTTAATGCTCTATATAGCACGAGACACCACCAACATTCACGTGCTCTCAAATATTTCTGACGTTTTCGAAAACCAAAACCTTGTGGTCGTGATTGCCTTCCCCTGTTTCCCGTTCTGGGGGATGAGGCGGGGAGGGCGATCGATAGTCCCTGCATATACTTCTTGCCTCGCTCTACACTTGTAGTTGCATGATTCTGCACACGGATTCACCCATCGAAGGACAACTACCCTATCGCACCTCTTCCGGGCACTCCCACGCCAGGGGACACGGAGAAACCATCCCCGCGGGGGGCTCCGTCGGGATCGGAGGAGGAGGAGGGGGGGGGGGCGAGTTGGCATCTTTGGCATGGTCATCGTCGCTTTCGTCCTCCTCATTACCGGCGGCCGCGGCGATCTTGCCCACCACCCCATCGAAGAACGCGCCCTGCCACCAACACCAAGAGAGAGAGAGAGAGAGAGAGAGAGAGAGAGAGAGNACCAAGAGAGAGAGAGAGAGAGAGAGAGAGAGAGAGAGAGAGAGAGAGATGTCGCAGCGCCGTGAACGAACAACGGTGATGCGCCTTCAACGAAGAGCTGACGACGGCGCTACGCGTGTTCTACTGCTGTACCTTGGTATTCTCTCCCTCCTGCTGTTGGTGCTCGAATGCCACCTTCCTGGTCTACCCATTGACTGGCGTCGTTTTGATTCCGCCGCCGGGGCACAACAACAATGCACCGAATGGACTTGAGTGAAACGACTCCGCACTCAAGAGCACATCCAGGTCGAAAACAGCGGTACTATGGTACAATGATGCCAAAAGTTGAAGTTCACAAGAAAGCATAGCGGAACCTACTCTACTGTACTACTGTTGCTGTGGAACTCACGGCGCACTTATCGAGCGCCTCTTGTGCAGCTGAGTTCTCCTCGACGGCTAGGGCGATCACCCCCAGGCGGTAGTCGATTACGGCCATGCGACCCGCAGCTGCTGCCGCTGCCGCGGATGTTACCTGCGGCATGCGTGCGTGCAAGCAGGCGTCGCCGTCATCGTGCAGCAATATGATGAGGACCGAGTCCCATCACATGTGGAGTGTTGATGGTATGGTACGTTCCACTTCGATGTGCCATTCGCCGCCTTCGTAACGTGCTGGAATAGCAACAACCTCCGTACGTCCGAGGAAGGCCTGTTGAGCTGCGTCCATTCCAGTAGTCTACGCATGATGGCGAGCAGCAGGTTTCCGGGGGTGTTGTTGCAACAGCAGTCCACACCTGCGATGGTTAGCAGCCGACAGAATTGTTCCACGATCTGCCGTAGACTGCATACGGAAGCTCTTCCTACCGGCTAAATAAGAACGGTGCTCTAACACCGCTCCCTTAGAAGGAGAAGTAGCCTTGGATGAGTGCACGTGAAACCGTGCATACAGTCGACGGTCTTCAATAGCGGTGCCCTCAATAGCGGTGCCCTCAATAGCGATATGCCCTCTATAACGGCAACAAAATCGCTTGGCACGAATGCATCCCTCAACAGCGGTACTTGTGCTCCTAGTGAGGAATGAATCCTTTATAATGCAAGACAAAGGCAAGGGGAGCATCAATGGTCATAAGGATTCAGGGGTGGTGGGGCTCACGGCTACACTCAATGCGCTCAGTATGGGCGTGATGGAGGTAGCGGTGGGAGGAGGTGGTGAACAAGACTCGAGACGAGCGAGGTACTCTCGTACCTCGGCATCGTCCCGAGTTAGCCCGCCAACCTCGGTAGCCATCGAGGAGGTCGAGTCTTGGGTGCAGCTAGAGGAGCAGGATGATGAAGTGGTCAAGGCTCTCGCCGCGGAGGCGGAAGCGGCGCTCAATGAGAAGATAAATGACAACTTTACAGAGGACTCCGATTCCGATGAGGAGCCGAACGACACGGGGGAGGTTGAGCGTGCAGGGGGCAGGACGTTGATGGCGCCGCCGCCGTACTCGGATATGTCGGAATTCTTCTTTTTCGGTCAACTAGAGCAGCACGCACAGTCGGCTAGAAATGACGAGGCTGAGCATCTTATTCGCAGGGCCAAGATGTCGTTCCTCACAGCCCACGCCGTTCAACCACTCCAGCAGTCAGACATGAGAAAGTCTCTTTGATCATAGGCGCGTCGGTCAAGCACAGCAGCAGTAGGAGTGTCTGCTCTCTTTTCTTTGCTCCGGTTAAACATTGTGTGCGGTGTGTGACTCTGTTTGCACCTGTGGTATATTGATTTCACGTTGTGACATTTTCTGTCTTCTGTGCGGTTCGTTGCTCTGCTACCATACAGGACAGCACAGCAAAGCAGTACTGCACGATGGTGATGATTTCTGATTGAGCCAACTCAATACTGCACAGTACACCAGTACAGGAGTACTGATCTGGTGTCAGTACTTACTTTAGGAACTATGAACACGAATGCTGCTCAACGAGTGAATTTTTGGACGCAATGGCGTAGGTAGCACATGACACCAACGAGCGTACGATGTGTGTAAAAAAATTCGGCTTCGTTGCCAATCTCATCCTCAAAAGCGGTATTGATACCGCTAGTGAGGAATATCTTCGGCGTTGTTGCCGCTCTCATCCTCAATAGCGGCATTGATACCGCTATTGAGGAATACCGGTAGTGCCCACAATAGCGGTATCAAGGCCTCTTGAGGGCCGTCGACTGTACTGCTGTACTGGTAGCTGAAAACCAAACACGACGGGCATCAGGCGTGTCCATCTCCAAATCTAAGAAACAGCCGTAGCGCCAGAGTTCAATCGTGTATTAACACACACACGCAGAAAGACACGGAACACTTTCGGTACGCCGATCAAGGTTCCTTTCGTGTACAGCAGTAATGCGTTGTCAGCACACATCCATATCTTTGATGAGACACTCCGCAGCAGTCAGTCGTGGATATCGTCGTACCATGTCTAGTCTACATGCGTAGTCTAGAAGTAGTCGCACTGCTCTCCCGCGACGCACACTAGTCCACAAACGGAGGACGCACAGAGAGAGTCTCTGCTCACCTCCTCTGCACCACCAGCACCACTATCCTGCTGGCCGAGCTGGAAGACTAGGTTCTGCCTGGCCTTCTGGAGCGCCTCCCTGGCCTTGTACTTGGACCTGAAGGGCTCGGCAGGAGGATCCTCGACGAGGCACAGCTTTCGCGAGATCTCCATCAACGTCTTGACCTCGTCCTCGCTTTCCCGCGTGTCTTCGAACGCCGGCGCATGACAGCGTTGCGACAACATATCGTCAACGGAGGCGCCACCGTCCATGTTTAGCGTCCGACACGGACTCTGCTGGGTCTCTCTGTCGCTGTTTTGGTACCGACCAACCAAGTCACTGCTGTTGTGCAACGCTCACGCGGCACCTGGATCAAGGGGGGCCGCGAACAAGAATATACCGACGTTCATACCCGCCCACCAATCATTATTGTGAGATGTGGAGGGACGGGAGTGGCATCATCACCACAACATCACACGGAGGGAGGAGGGGAAAGGTGGAGTAACATGCATGTGAACGCCTCCTCCATGTGTGTCGACCCTTGACTACACATGCCTCTCTCGGTTTAGATTTGTCTCACCGCTGCCCTTTCTAGATTTTGGATAGGCCGATGCTTTCCTCGTTGGAGCCGAGGGTTGTGGTCCCAATACACCGCGCAAGAATATTTGAAACAGGGTGGCCACTACTGAAAGCTGAATATTCCCCGACACGCAACATTGCAATGCCCCCATGTATGTACACCGCGAATGTTTTTGCTTGTCACTACACCGCGGTATATCGGGACCATCACTGTTGTACGACGGTTGCTTGTGCTCTCAGTTTTCAGCAGACGTGGCTCCATTTTCCATGTGTGGTGTTGCCTTAGCATTGCAAAACCACTCCCGTCTCTGCACAGTACATCCGTCCGTACCCGTCCAACTGGCGCGGACGCGTCCGTGGTGAAGGGCAATCTACCCCGAAGTGTACACGCGTCGAAACATCTGACGGATGTAAAATGGGGCAAGACGGTGTGAACCCCGTACCGTGAAATGTCAGCAGCGCTGTGTGGTGTTCCCTTTTTGTTTCGAAGGGAACAACGCTGTGACCAACTCATAAGACCAACGCCTGTCCTGAGTCAGTTGGTTCTTACGTGTATTCTGGCATCCGACAAACATCGATTCGATGCAAAAGGGGCAACGAAAATCCAATCAACAGCGAAAGTAGGACGAGCACTACCACCAAGACAAGACAATACCTCTGCGAACAGGAGCCATACTCTTAAGCTGACAGCAAACAAGTGAACGAACCTACATGTCGATATTTAGTAGCATCATCCAACACAACGCGAATCATCCAACACACACACAGTTGGAACGCCAACCGAAACGTTTGTTTAGATTCATCCAACATGTACACAACGGGCGGTAGTGGAAAGACGGCGCGGAGAGTTGGACCTGCCCATGCAAGGCTTACACACATACATGGGATTCGATCACAAGGCCGCGGGGTGTTCCATGTCCTACAGTAGGGGTACGGTACGCTAAAGGGGACACGGTGTGCTTGACCGTGGGCCGACTCGAAATATTGTCAGACGAAAGAATCTTCTTCTATGAGTAATCTGCTTGTACTCCAAACTTGAAATGCCCACACCCAAAGGTGGCGGAGGCACGACACGAAAATCACCCTTCCTTGTGCCACGTCGCCAAAACTTACGATGGAGCTGCTCTCATTGGTTCCTGTGCGCCATCGCTCCAGGACCTCCACCCGCACCGAATTCTCCACAGAGCTCATGCTGCTGTACGCTCAACATCCGGAATGCAAGACACTAAATAGCTCATAACACTCTACACACAGGCATTGGAGGAAGGACCTCGGGTCACTGCTGTCGGTGTTTCTCTTGAGCAACTGCGGTTCTTATTATCCACAGCTATTTCCAAAGCTCTTCCATTCCTTCGTCTCTACCGTCCCCAGCCACTCCACTCTAGGCTATTGCCGCCATCACCGGCTTAACTTGGTCTTCCTGCTTCTGCTCTCCTCCGCCACCTCGCTCCGATGGAAAAATCATGAATTAGGACTACACGAGAGCTATCGGCGTTTCTTTGAGCCACTCTTTTTCTTGCCGCCGCCGCCGCCCCCGCTATTCCCCTTGCCCTTTCCACCACCACCTCCTCCTCTCCCACCATAACCGCCGCCGCCGCCGCCGCCGCCGCCGCCGCCAGCCGCTCCTTGCCCTCCTCCGCTCCCTTCCCCCCTCGCCTTCGGCGATATCGTCACCGGGAGGTCTAACCTCTTCCCGCAGAGGGCGTGGATGCCCTTGGCGAGCCACTCAACGGCGTTGCCCGGGATGCCGAGGGTGACGGGGTTGCCGCAGATCCACTCCACGACGACCCCATCGTCCTCGCTCACCTGAAGGCATGCCAAGGCGTCCACCTAGAACAAGAGCAGCACGCGCACCGGGGAGCGGGGAACAACCATATTGCATCACCAATCTTCGCGAGTAATATGAAGCTTGGTTGTGGTAGGGGGTATGTCCGGAGGTACCGGGTTGGATAATGAAACCACCCCCCTCTCTATTTCAAGAATTCAAAGCAACCTCGCGAAGGCGGTTTGATTGGATTAAATGAGCGTTTGTGAGAGTCTTGTGGGTGTTGCCTGATTTGGTTTCAAGGGTTGGCAATTTTCATGTACAAACGGTGCCGGAATCCCATGCAACGGAAAACGCCCTTCATCCTGGTCCGATGACCGCTGGGCTCTTCTTGACTATGTACAGATCATTTGCAGTGCTTGCTGCCCGTGCGTTGCGTCCGCAACTCTTGACAGCTTGCCCAGGGTTTCGGTACAGTTACAACTTGACCGCACGACAGGTTTATACAACAACCAGGTGTTGCATCGGCAACCTATCAGGCATACCTTGTTGTAGCTAGCAGTTTCATACCCATGTCAAAACGAAAGAAACACGAGAAACACGTAACACCCGTGCGAATTTTGATCTGGACAGCTCCTCCCGTCGGATGAGGCGGCACCGCACAGCACGAAATCACTGTAGCAGCAAAGGTCGAGCGATCAGTCTGTTCGTGGCTAGTCTACGGAGATACGCACGCTCTCATGTTCTTCTATGTCATCAGACCATGTGGCTTACCTCTACTGTGGGTTCGATCAGGCAAAGCAGGCAGGTTAGCGCAGCAAGACTCCGCAAGCAATCGCTATCCAATCTCGAACCCGTTGGGTCAGCGTTCACAGCAGTTCATCGTTAGGCACGTATCGTGGCAATTAGGCGCACAGGCACAGTGGCAATGGCACACATCTCTTTGTCACACTTGGTGATCATAATCACCAGGTAGGCATCGGATGTAGGAATCCGATACGGGTACCCGCGGATTGGAATCGAGAGGTGGTGACACACCTGGAACCTCGATCCTATCAATCCACGCCCTCCATGCTCAGAGTAGTCACCTCTGCGCACTTCAACGTACCTAGTTGCCTGTGGTTCTACAATCCTCCAGGCTCCCGTGGGGATATCGATCTACCGCCGCTACATGACTACACTGTGCTGCTGTCTAGTCTAGAGCTCGACTCGCACAGTCAGTTGTTCTGTGTGGGACAAACAACACAAGCGGCAGGCTAGAAGAACGCCGGCACCCCCACCTGGCCACCCTTGATAGCCCCAATCGGTGCCCCGAAGGACCACTTGGATCCTAGCTTCGTGTAGTCCGCGTTACGCTTTGGTTGCCACTCCTGCGAGGAAAGAAAACAAGCAAAACGACTGGTTGTGAAGTACATTATTGTCTCGCCGTCAGCATACTACGGCTGGACGCACCGACAGGTCAAGGAGCAGCCTGTGCCATATGCACACTCTGAACAGCGGTACTAACAGTAGTAGCGTGTGGCAGCGAAATCGCCACGCCCCGTCAACGATAGTTGGCAAGCAGCCGTTCACCTCCTTTCCGGCAACGTTACGTGCTGCCGTGTGCCAGTTACGAAGGGTTCTCACCCAATATGGGGTTGGATATCGGATATACTACAGTACTGCAGTAGCTCCCAGATGCTCTGTCTACCGAGAGAGAGAAAAAGGAGGAAGAGAGAGAGAGATGCATCTGATGCACAGCAGCCGCCGCCACCCAGCAAACGGCAGCGCCGAGGTGGCCAAGACTACTGCAGGTCTACGGAATCGTAGATCGTGACCTCACCTCACCACTCACCACCATGCCTCTCAGCACGGCGATAGGTACGGGAACACCTGACGGCAACGGTGCGGTACTTGTATCGTCACCCCAACATGCGACTCGGGTTTTTATGCGTACGATCACTCTCCGCTATTGCTGCTCGAAAAAGTTGGGCACCGACACTCACCGCCATGCCTCTCAGCACCGTCAGGATGCAGGCCGCCTCCTCTTTAACCTTGGTGTCGATGGCCTCGACGGACGCGAACGACGCGATCGGCGCCCAGTCCCGCAGGAGGTTTGTGTACTCCTCGCTCGACAGCTCGCGGATCAACTCGTCCTCGGATTCGAACAGCGTCCCGATCCCTCGGGGCTCCTCCACCTTCTTCGCGTCTTCCAGCCTGGGGAACGGCTCTCCGGCATCCCCGTCGGGCGGTGGTTCGCTGCTGCTGCTGTCCTCGTCGTCGTCGCTGGGGTAGTAGGCGCCAGTGCTGGGGTGGGGTGTGCTGGCTCTCCTTGGGGGAGGCGGCGGCGGGCCGAACCCCGTTGCGTATAGTGCTGTTCTTGAAGCAATTGCTCTGTGCGCTGCTGTTCTTGTTGCTGTCACTGCTGCTGCTGCTTCGGTTGCAGCTGCCGCTGCTCCATGGTGCTCACGATGATGATCCTCTTGGCCGCACGAGGAAGAACGGTGTCGCTGCTGCGGGTGCTGTTGAGCCGCCAGGTTGGCTACGAAACCGACGCATCCCTCCTTTCGCGTCAGAAGCAAGAAGCCGAAGACCAACCGGACGGGTATTCGCCGTCGACGCACCATGACGGACGGGTAGAGAGAAGAGAGAGAGAGATGGCGGAGGAAGAAGGCCAGCAGGCTGCCTACACACAGCAGTTCATGCGGTGCATCGACCATGCAAGGGGGACACGCGAATGGAGAACACCGGGATACCCCTACCATGAAGCGCCCACCAACCGACCGCCATGGGTCTGTGTCCGTCCAACTGCAAGGGCACACACATACACGACCAGGCCATAAGAGACGGCCATTCGCATCGGTTCCCCACGGCTGAGGGAAACAAGAGCCCCTAGAAAGGCTCTCGGTGGAGGTGGGTCACGTCGTCGCGCTCTGATTACGGTTGCTCTCGGGCGGTATATGTGGAATGCGTTTTCCAGAAACATGAGGCCTTTTTCTCGGGGGAGGGAGCGAGGTAACCTAACGGGCAACACACTTGAGATGCTCGGTGCGTGCGGGAGGACACGCGAGGCTTGCCCCTCACGCGTACCAAATCATAGCAATTGTCGAGCTGCTGCAGCAGGAAAAGTGCCTGAGACGGGATGGAACATGTCCTGTAAGACAGCTAAAATGCTACCCGATTTGCATGAAACTACCGCTCGCTGTCATCTGCAACCGTAAACGAGAGGATACAGCAGCAGTGCAGCAGTAGACGCCGCGCAGAGCATAAACCTAGCGCCTGTTCTCTGTCCGAAGTTCGCGAGGCCACCTTCGTTGACCGCATGCCTGTTCCATTTCCTTCTCGCTGCGGAGTTGATGACCTTCGTTGCGGTGCTAACTAACTCCTGTTGTAGCAACGTCACCAATGTGTGCTCGAACTTGAAGAATGTGTGCAGACTACGAAAACAGGACTCCCTCTTGCTGTTGGCTTTTGGCGTTCCTCCAGAGCAATCCAAAGACGCAGCCGCCGGCGCGTGCACACCATGCTCATCGTGGGTCATGATCGAATGACTCGTCGAGCAAGACAAATCAAACCGAGTTGCAGCACGTCTTCGTTTTTATCCTTGAGACGTTGCACGTTTATAATAGTCATATCCGAAGCTAAGCTTTGCTCGAGACGACGCGTGTCGTCTGATGCTGCGCTCGACCACATGTGGTGTGGACCGACGCGCCTTCCTCCAGCGCAGCAGCTCTGACACATATGCATACCATGTGACAAGACCGGCCCCGTCATCAAAGTGGTTGCGCGCGTCTTCTCTTTGTCCAAAACATTCGGTGATACTCGACAAGCAGCAGCAAACTTGAACGACATGGTCAGGTTACTCTGTAGCGTGTCTGGCAGGTTTTCGGCCGACTGATTGGTTGGACTTTAACGTACTCCGTACAATGCTGTCGGAAATTTTCGAAAGGATTGCATTGTGAAGCATTCTATCCATGCCCTGGTGGCTTGTCGATTCGTCGCATCCATCAGACCTTGGTTTGGTCAGGTTGCCGCTGCCCGGTCCTCTCCCCCTTTCTCTCCTCCGCACGCCTCTCTTATCCGTCCGCTTCAATACAAGCTGCGCCTACATCGCCCAACTCTCTCCCTTATCTGTCCGCTTCGATACAAGCTTCGCCTAAAACGTCCAACTCTCTGCTCTTATCTGCCCGCTTCGATTCAAGCTGCGCCTAAACCGTCCAACTCCGTGCTCTGCTGTTGTTTCTTGGTTTTTTCCATCACCATTCGCGCGCGCTCGGGGGGGGGGGGGGGGGGGG